ATGAAGTAATGTTAACTATTTTTGCTGTAGTTGAAAACATAATACCCAAAATATATAATCTTCCTTTCAAAGGCAGGATAAAATAGTTGGTATACATTTATATAATTTTTTTGGCATAATGACTCACCTATTTGTCTTAATTTTGGTGATTTTTAAATTTTGCAGAAATTTCGGAGTGCTTCAGTGGGGGCTGAGGAGTACATGTATGACCAGACATCAAGGTAGGTTACCAGGAGATGCATCCACTCAAAACTGATTAGCTGATAACCCTTTAAATGTACCTCTAAGTTACACTTTTAAACCTTTTTTTCTTTGCATGCTTTTATTAAACAATCTGATCTCCTTTGCCTTCGATTCTTTTCTCTATACAACGACTTCTACATCATTCATTATTTCCAGTCTCGATCAATTTTCTGGGTTCTGTTCCCTTTCTTCATCCTTCCGTCGGCTGGACATCCCTTCTTAAGTGTTTCTCTGAACCTCAAACTCATCTGTCTCCACCCCAACAACTGTAAAACAGATCTCATTATCTTTCTCTTCTTCTTTCCCTCTTTCTCCGCTTGTTTCGCACCTGGTTTTCTGCTTTTATTCCCTGTTGTGGCTAATGACTCAACCACCCTCCAAGCCGCCCCAGCCAGGGGTGTAAGGGTCTGCCTTCCTTCCTGCTGTGCTTTTCTAGCACTTGCCAAGTGCCGAATGTATCTATTCTACCTGTTATCTCTTTTCCTACTTACTCTTGTCAACTTACTCCTAAACTATCGCACTTTTTTCTCCTGTTCTACTCTGCACATAGATAGCCACCAGCTATCATGCACTCAGGTGCCACCCATGTGTCAGCACTGCGAGTGGGATTGGGGATAAGATATAACCTCTTTTTATAGGAGGTCCATACGCTTTTGAAGGAGACAAATGTGATGACAGACCAATTATAACACGATTTCTAAGTGATGAGTCCTGCTATAAAGATACATGAACAGAGAGCTAAGCAGACCTGTGGGTCTGTGTGTTGGTGTAGGGGGCAGATCTTCACAGGAAGTAGCATTTGAGCTGGATCTTGAAAGATTAACAGCAGATGTTTTCTAGGGAAAGAAGGAGGTTTAAGAACATTCTAGGTAGAGGAATAATGTTTAAAGACATTGGTCATGATATGATCATGATATGATCTTATCACCTGAAGATAAGAGAGAATGGCAAGAATTGAATTTCTCTCTCCCATTTACAAAACTTACCGAGGATTTTACGATTTCAGACAGAATGAGACACAAATTCTTTATAAAGGTGGTCAGAGCCCTCTACGTTCTGGTCCCTCCTTACTTTAAGCCTTGTCTCCCACATATTTCTTGCCCCT